TTTAACTAGAAAAGACACAGAGGCAATGAACTCTGGATTTGAATTGTGACCCTACTGCTAATTATTGGAGGTATCTCCTGAGAACATCATTTTCCCCACCTTTCTGCCAAAGGAGCGTAAGAGTTAAAGCATGCAAGCAACCATAATGTTTCTACAGGAGGATTAGTTTAACAGCCTATATGTTTAAGTGAATAAATTGCACATTCATTAGCAGAAATAGACCATATGCTAGAAAAGTCATTGGATCTGCTTCACTGGGGGCGGGGGGAAGAATCAGCAATCCTCTACAATTAGAAGGCCTCAGCAGTTAGAAAACCTTTAAAGCCAATCCAACAGTTATCAAATGAACTTTTAATGATACCTTCACCATCTGGGAGACAGCCCTTCAATGGCAGGCAGGGGTTTGCATATAATAGAAATATTCATTTTAATGTATTCTAAGAATCTACAGTGATCTTAACATTTCTTAGAATGGGTGTTTTATAAAGCCATGGGGTGGTGGTTGGGGTGTCTGTAGAAGTAGAATTCACTTGGGTTGCCATCTAATTAATTAATCAGTCGATAAAAAGCATATTTTAATTGTCTAATTGTTTACCTCTAAAAAGCATTAGCATTTCCATTGTTGGGGGCGATACTGCAATTGGTCGGTTATACTTGTAGACCTTTCAGTTCTGTTTTATCTCCCATAAAATGTGAACAAAGACATTTTGGACCATCTTTGTCTATATCTGTGGCTATGTGTGATGGCTCAATAGATAAAGACACTGAGCTTGTCATTTGGAAAGCTGATAGCCCGGGTTTGAGACCCAAGCGCCATACAATGGGGTGAGCTCCCATTACTTAACCCAACTCCTAACCACCTAGCATTCAAAAGCATGGAAATGCAAGTAGATTAATAGGTACCACTTCAGTGGGAGGGTAACAGAGTTCCATGTGCCTTGGGCATATAGCCATGCTGGCCTGTTCAGAGTATTGCAGCGTAAATTCAGCACCAGATAAGTAAACACAGATGGCTGAGGCTTCATTTAACTTCTTTATAAACATATAAATAAATTTCGCAATAACAGTTGTAGATTTCTTCAACATGGAGCAAACTCAAACAAAAGCCGACAAATTACAGGTTCAGAGCAGAACAGCAACTCAGGAGCTCAGAAAACAGACATCAGTTTTTATTCCACATTTTTTCCAATCCTCTAACTCAATATTACATCCAAAATTTTTGACCCAAGCTAATATTAACTCTTTTACTATCTTCTCTTCTAGGTTGAAATTTAATAAATAATTGTATATTTTTGATAGTAATTTTTCTTCTGGTCCCAGCAGTAATTTATCTAATTGAGTTGCATCCAATTCAAATTCATATTCTTCTAAGTCTTTTTTGTAACATGATTGCAACTGGACATATGGCCACCAGTCTATAATTATTCCCTGTGTTTTTAATTCTTGGTTGGTTTTAAATACTCCTCGGTTGTCCAAAATACAACAATTTGTAATTTGATTATATATGGCCATTTTATCAATATCCAATGTGTTGGGGTGGATCATTGCCTCCCTAGTGGATAACTGGCCTGGGATTTTAATACAATGTTTTTTTTCTAATTTCCTCCCAGGTCTGTATCAACAAATCTCATAAAATATGTCTATAGAAGACATAGAATATGTCTTATTTCTGGAATTCCATATGAAGGCATGATACCCCATCTGAATATCATGTCCTTCCAACGTCAAAATTCTCCTATTGTTTAAATTAATCCATTCCCTGATCCAAACTAAGGATGCTGCTTTATAGGAAGTCTCTTATGCTGGCAGTCCAAAGCCACCTCTATTTCTACTATCCTGTAGATAAATTAACTTTATCCACACTTTTTTCCCTGACAATAAAAATTTCGTGGTTATTTTATTTGAATCTTTAAAGAATTTTTTATCTAATATTCTGGGGATCATTTAAAATAAGTAAAGCAATTTGAATAGAATATTCATTTTGATTGTTGCAATTTTCTCTAATAATAAAAGTTGTAGTTTCCCCCATCTATCCAGATCGTTTCCAATTTGTTGTAATTATTTTATATAATTGTCCTTTTTTTAAAATAAAAGTTTTATTTAAGTTTTCACAAAACCTACAAATACAAAATCTCTTTTTGAGAACAGTGTGACCTCGGGTTATCACTTCTCCATACAGACATAAACTCAATACATATTTATCTTATACATTCTAATCCGTATCAATAGCTTTTCCCTTTCTTTACTTCCTAAAGCCTTATTTTAAATTATCCCATTCCTTTCTTAATTCAATTACATATCATTTTCTAATTTGTAAAATCTTTCTAATCAATGTTTTTATACTTTTGTCGGTCCTGTTTACAATTTCATATTATCTTTTCTCATAAAACAAATTTTCCCCTGTAATTACTAGACTGGAGTGTAACACCTTTGTATCTTTTTTGAAATTTTATTTAAAAATTTAAGTTACATCTTTACAGTTATAACATTCATTTTTAACCTCTATTTTATAACACACACCTATTTTCAATCGAATTCTGCTTGGTACATTCCCTTAAAATACACACTAAATTCTTAAAAGAAAAAAGTATATATGTGTATATATCTGTGTATATATGTATAACAATAGTAAATGGAATAATTATTCTATTTGAGTACAGCTCTGCCATTAATATTAATAACAATCTTTTACATTTCTATTTCTTTTAACAAACATTACCTAGTAATATCAGTTGTCTTTCACTTTAATCATCTATATTTCATATTTTATTTATTGCTGTCTTTAAATAAAAAACCAAACAATAGTTATTAACAGTAGTCAATAAAGTTATTATTCTTATTCAAGTTCATCTTATCAATTGATAAAAATCTTCCATGTTTCTTTTCAGTTTTTTTTAAACGTTCTTTTTAAATCATTGAGAGCCTTATTCTCTTTACAAACAAATATTCCACTACACATCAATATAATTTTTTTCTATCACTTTAATCATCTAACATATTATATAACAATGCTATCCCATGCACCTTTGCAGAATCCTGTCCTTAAGTTAAATTTTAACCATTGTCTCTGTGTCTTTTAAATAGGTTTATACCTTTAATCCTTGTACGCTTTTCCTGTACCTTTATATCTTGTTTCTGTCTTTTGTAGCTTCTTTTCCTTTCCATCTTCCCTCTCTTCTTCTCCCTCCCCTTTTTATTCCCTTTTCTATCTGATTCTCCCTTCTGTGATCCTCCCTTCTGCTTCTTCCTGATGTTATGATTACTTTTCAAATTACTCTTTTTTTTTTTTTGGTTGTTGCTTCAGTACTTAAGTTTTTAACTCCCTTTCCCCCCATTTCCCTTTTTTACCCCACTCAAAATTGCTTGGTCATTGAAGATGGCTTCTTCATTGTCCCACCCTTCTTGTTCTACCAGCGTTTCTTGTTGTTTTTCATAGTTCTCCATTTCTAAAAATTGAGATACGAAGCCAAAAGATCCTCTTCCATCTTGTGCTTCTTCTTTTTGTTCTTTAAGTCTCATTTTTAACTCTTCAAGGAGTGATGCCATTTAAAAAAAAATTAAAAACCCCCAATTGATTTAATTTTGTTTCATTAGGATCCTCCATCCAAAGTTCCAGGAATCATCCAATAATCCAAAACTGTTTCTTGCTTCTTTTCTCACTTTCTCTTTCCAGGGGCTTTGTTTTCTTGCAACAAAGTTTCAGCTACAATGTATCTTTTGCAAGCCTTGTTAAAATTCCACTATCATTTTTTTTTTAAGTTCCAGGTGGTCTCCTCCATTTTCCAGATTCCACCCTCTTTTTTCCTTTTTCCCTCCTCTGCTTTCTTTCTTTTTTTTTTAAAGAAAGTTTTTAAATTATCCAAGAATCTTTATCCCTTTGACACTTTATTTTCAGCTAGAAATAGCCTATTAATGTCAAAGTGGATTAGTACCAATTTCTTATTCAAATCTCTTCTTAATGTTCCAAGCCAGTTAAAACTGTTGATGTTAGAGGGGAAAAAAGCCAATTCCATTTCCTTTCCCTTTCTTTTTCGTAGCTTAAAATCTTTTTTAGGAATAGAATTAGTCTTTAAAATTCAGATTCCAGGTACCTTAAATAGATATTCTCCATTTAACCCGGTCAATCAAACTTTCTCTTTTAAACTTCCTCCTGCACAATCTTGTCCAGTCGGGTTCTTCTTTGAGGTGGCCATTTCTGACCACCGCTGTAACCGCCTTTGGGAAAGGGAGTGATGGCCAGCCGAGGAGAGATGCAGCTCTCCTCAACCCCGCTGACGGCTCCCCCTTCTTCACCACCTCTATGGGGTGGCTTCAGCCCTGAATCCAGGAGGCTCAGGGCACTGCAGCGGCAAGCATGGATCAAAACCGCAGACAATCGCTATTTTGGTCTGTCACCGAAGAAGCCCAAACTGGAAGCAATTGTCCTTTTTTAATAAGTGGAATAAAAATTATACTCTAACAAAATCTGCTGCATATAAAGAAAACCAATACAAAATGTTTTACCATTGTCATTTAGCCCCAACAGGACTGGCAAAGATGTATCACAACCTAAACCCTAACTGTTGGAAATGCAAACAAGCACAAGGTACCTTTTTTCATGTCTGGTGGCTATGCCTGGAAATTAAAAAATACTGATCAAAATACAAAAATGGATAAATGAAAGCACCCACTGTTGAATAGAGTTGAAACCTGAATTGTTTCTCCTGATGATCATTAAGGGTAAATACCCCCCAAAGATTAAATATTTGACTGTACATATTATTACAGCAGCAAGAATTGCACTAGCACAAGCTTGGAATATGTCTACCATACAGTCAGATTGTTTAATAATCCAAACATTTTTTGAATGCACAGAAATGAATAGACTAATCATAGAACTGAATAACAAGGAAGACTCAGAATATTATGCAACTTGGAACAATTGGTATCAATGGATAGACAGTAGAAATATGAAAGGAAAGAAATTAAATAATGAAATTACTAGGTATGTTTAACTGATACGGAGGTTGGCATTTGAAGAGAGTATTGAAATGTTGAAAATAAGCGATGAAGGATTATGATTTAATGTGAATATGTTTATTAAGAGATATGATTGGTATTATTAAATTTGCCTATACTAAAATGTATGATATATTGACGCCACACTGTTAATGTTTTGTGTATGCGTAAATTGAAATAAAAAAACTTGATTAAAAAAAAAGAAATATGAAAGGTATAGGTTAAAAATAAGCTAATTTTTTTCCTCTTTTTTTGTTAAGTTGTTAGGTTAAAAATAAACTAATTTTTTTTCTACTTTTTTGTTGTTGTATATGTATATGATTAATGAGAACCTGCTGAAATGGATGAATATTTGGAATGCATGAATATAGCCAAGATGATTTTTACTGTCAGAGAACGATGGTGAATTGTATCAACTCATTTTTTATAGATATATTTGTATTTTAAAAATCTTAATTTCCATGAAAGCTTTTTAAAATTAAAAAAGAAAAAGAAAAGAAAACAGACATCGGTTTCACTTTAGTTCAGCAGGCAAGGAAGCAAGTTAGTTTCTCTTTCACTTTAGAGCTGAGCACAGAACAGAGATAAACCAGGCTCAGATTCTCTCTTTAAGTTTCAGCCCTCAGTTCAGCTCTCACTGGCTGACCTTGTTGCTAAACTCTATTCTGGTTCATGAATATGCTCTGACATAGCCACATGACCAGATTGTTTTCATCAAAGAAACAAAGATGAGCAACGTGCCCTAGAGTTGGACACAACTAACAGGGAAACCTTTATCTTATGTATATGTGTATGTGCATGTGTATTTCTAGCACAACGATACAATCTTCCACAAGCAAAAAAGTGTGTGCATTGTCGGGCGCCTTGAATCCCAAAAGGATGAATTTATAATATTGGCAAACTTTATAAAAGGACAAAACGCATATCAAGTCAGCTTATTAAAACTCCAGCCGCAATGTGAATTTTATTACTGTTTTCTTTTAGGAATGATTTCGATATGTTAGCTGTAAAAATTCTACTTCAATGTTGTGATGGAAAGCTTACTTTTTAACTTTATTATTTTAGTTTATTTTATCATAAGATTTCAAGGCTACCCAACTCCTCTGCAACCCTAAGTGGTTTACAGATTAAAAACAACATAAAAACACAAAGCTATTATTTTTAATGAAGAAATATCAGCAATTCAGTATGTTGGCTCAGAATTTAAAACTATTTCTTGCAAGTCCTGATTAATACCACAACTTGTGCACCAGGGACTTGAAAATTATCAGCTACATTACAGTCCCTCCTGAAAATGTTTTGTTCTGCTAGATCTAACCAAAATCTTTTGAAAAGCCTGTCCATCCAGATAGGCAAAAAAATGAGAATCCTCTCTAACGGATCCTTAGCCAGCCAGAATTTAAATATATACCGCCCTTGAACATGGTAGCTTAATTAACTCTCTTAGTTTTCATAATTAAGAGCTACTGTGTTAATCCCTTTCAAAAACTCTATTCCAGGGCCTAGAATAGAATTAGTTAAAAATGTTTAGGAGATAGAATTTAATAGTTAATATAGAAGCAATGTTTATTATTATTTGGAACATACACTTTTCATACATGCTATAGCGATCATTGCAGAATAACCTGGCAAAGAAACATTTCTGAATATTTTCCTACTATTCTCTTATTATGTATGTATGTATGATTTTATTTGCTTGTTATGCTATCCATATTCCCTTTGAAGTAACTCTTGGGGGCGGGGTGTCTTATAAAAAGACAAATAGAATAATTAAAAATTTAAAACTACACAGAAAATCAGGACCAAGAGACAGATGGCATGGGGATGAGGGTCTATGACAATTCATCATGGCCAACTTGCTGCAGGAAAAGAATTACATTAAAAATAAAGAAATAGTGGAATAGAATCATTAAAAAAGGATGCAAAAAGAGGGACAGAATGAAATGTGAATGGCAAAAATAAACATAATTTTTAATTTATTTTAAATAATTGTTAACTTGTCCCACAGCAAGTTGTCTTATGGTGAGTTGACCATGGTGAGTTGTCCTGTAGGGAGTTGGCCATGGTGAATTGGCTGTAGCGAGTTGGCCATAACAAGTTGGCCATAACAAGTTGGCCACAGCAAATGGGTTGTGGCAAGATGTCCAATTCCATGGCAGATGAGGGCTTCTTCCCTGTCAATCACATCCAGTGGTAAGTGCCCCCTTCAGACCCCTTCCATTTTGATGAAAGATAACTTACTTTCACATGCTTTCCAAGAGCAAATAATTTCTGAGAAGTTTGTATAAGGGCTGTCTTTATTTAGGAGACAGCTAAAAGGGAAGCCATTTTTTCTTGTCATTCATTCTGTAGCAAGCTTTCCAGCAGCCTATAGAGACTAAAGCCTCCTCCTATGTCAATTATATTTGAATAAATCAAGAGGACTATTTATTGTTGAATAATTTTACTGCCCATGAGAAATTCTTGGGAATATCCAGAGAAGTCATCTAATCAGTTTCTCTATAGATATATTATAACTTTTTTTTAAAAAAAATGTGCACTGTCTTTATATATTAGAAAAGTTATAATGGGGTTGATTTTATGAATAATTATCATATTTAACATTAGGGTATGAATGTAATGTGAATTAGAGCATTCCATGAACATTATTTGCACATTGCTTTAAAGTGACAAAAATAACAAGCTTTTAGAAGTGCAAAAGATATCATTAAATGAGAATTAAATACCTGGTAGAAGAATTATTCCAATGGTTGAAATAACTGTGTGCTCTTGAAACTAATTCTTGGCAGATTTAGTTGGGATTATAATGTTGGGATTATAATGTTATAGATAGAGTTTCTATCTACTGTGTGCTCTTGTGTTGTTATGGTTGAAGCTGAAGTATTCATTGACAGGCAGGACATTGCAATGTATAATTTTATGTACTATACTTAGATCGGACCAAATGCGGCATAGTTCTAGGTTTTCTAGGTCTAGAAGTTCGAGTCTGGTGGCATAAGGTATTCTTCCTCCAGGAGTGAGGAGGGAATGGAGATTTTGTGGTATCCTTCCCCTGCCATGCCCACAAAGCCACGCCTACAAACCCATGGCCATAGAACCGATAGTAAAAAAATTTGAATCCCACCACTTGTGTGGGGGGTCTTCAAGTCCAACTCCCTGCTCAAGCAGGATACCCTATATTTCTTATACTTTTTGTTCTATTCTTCTACAACAGAAATGTTAAACTCGCAGCTCTCAGGCCGGATGTGTCACATACTGACCCCATGGATGTGAAGTCCCGATACATCATGTGACACTGCCGTGATGCTGTGAGTTTGACACCCCTGTTTTACAACAAACTCATAATCAATTAAGTGGATACTCAGTACTAACCGTGTGTGTGTGTGTGTGTGTGTGTGTGTCTGTATGCAACAGAGAAAAATTGGTGTCTCATTTCATAAATTGCTTCTTGGATGTCAACCAACTTTGCGCTTAGAGAGAAGTATAGAAGATAAAGTCTTGTCTACAACTACTTGCTACGATAATGGTTACAATGAAATTTTTATACAGTATTTGGAAGCCACTGAACCAGGAAACAGCATTTGTTGAGAAGTACTCTTGCTTACCTTGGGTCCCATTTATTACTTGGAGCAAAAATAAACCATATATCCAGCAAAGAATCAGCATCAGTCAAATAGAAGAGGTTAATATTGGATAAGTAAGACTAGGTTATAAAACTGAAAGAATGCTCTCCAAAAATCAATAATGAATCCAGCTCTGGGATAATTGGTGCTTGTAATCGAGATTGTTGACAATTAAGGTCTACAAGCCCCAGAATTCAATGCCACAATCAGGTTTCACTACCACACTCAGGAGATCTGAAACTCCTTATGCTGCAGATCTTAACTTCAGATATATATTCCATCTTCTCTCTCTCTCTCTTTCCTTCTCTCTCTCTCTCCCTCTCGTTTTTTGATATGAGAAATCAGAAAGAGTGCAGAGAAGGAGCAACAAAGATGATTAGAACAGTTGCAGGAATTGGGTAACATGGTTAGTCCTACTACCCTTTCCTTTCTGAGCTGCCCAATTGCATCATATTTGATCCGATTTGTTTTTACTTTCGCCTCATTTTAAATATTCATCTTAGATGAACATCACACTTCAAATAGTTTCTCCGGCAGATCTACATATTTTATGGCTCACAATTCTGAATATTATGGGCATTCTAGGTCAATACAAAAAGCCCAAGCAAAGATTTTCTCATTTGTTGAATTTCCTTTTAATAAAATTGGTCAAAGGTCAAAGAAAAATGTCTTTCACAAATTAAGGCAGACTCGATAATTCATGAAGAACCTGACCTGATGTTCATTGTTTAACTAAACGTTTTGTACTTGGAATCATTCTTCCATTTTTTTCTTAAGCAATCTGATTATTCCTATAGTGCTGACTAAGTGAAGGTGCCTATCCTTCACTTAGTATATATGTAATGTCTTTTTCATTTCATAAAAGAAGCATTCATTCACTAGAATCCTGGAAGTGATTTTTTTTTTTTTAAAGAATGTAACCTAAAGTACCTATACAAAAATAGAAAGTCTGCCAAGAAGCAAAAAAGGACCTTGGGTCAAAATTTACCATAGAGTAAATCCTCTCCTCTCCCTTGCTCAGTCTGCTTTTGTGCAAAGCTATTTTAAAAGCATTGACATTGTAAATTAATGTCCCCAATTTAGAAACTTCAAATTCATTGAGCGATTAACACAACCCTTCACTAAGAATCATTTTCTACTCATGAATACAAAGTGCCCATAGTTTTCTCTTCATCAAGATCAAAAGCACCTGTGTGATTATTTTGAAAAAGTAGAGCCCCTACTGTTAGTATTTATTCATAGTATTAATATTATTTCCATGTGTGCATTGCATTTCAGAAAAAAGCACAACAATTTACAGAAGCAAAATATCTAAAAATATAGAGTGGTGAAAATTTTAACCAGTATTGTGTGGAAAAAAATGACTATTGTACAAATTTGTTTTATAGTATATTGTTATAAGTGGGAATTGGCACATCCCAGTCTTGGGATAAGGATAGGAATAGCCAAAGGCTTTCACTTTCCAATATAAAACTTCAAACAAATACTTCAGACCCACCCATATTTCCCCAGAGATAAAGCATACAAAGAATGCTTCTTTTTTTGCCCTTGCAGATTTAATTCACAAATAAATTAAATAATAATAAATTTGAAGTGGTTTTATTTAGTGGTAAATTTGACTGTATGAAAAAACAGAGAACCCAATCTCTCTCCAAGACTTACGCAACTTTTAAGAGACAGACAAAACGATTTTCTAGTATTTGGTACAATCTATCTCCTTGACTTATGGCTAAAATCTGCAGGTTTTGGAAAAGCTTTTTATTCTCAAGAGAAGAGATCTTATTGTTTTACATTACTGCATGTCTGGTAAGTGTAAATGAGCTTGGATCATGATACTAAAAGAGATTCATTGACATTAAAAATAAAGGACAAAGAAGACACAGAATATTACTTAACAGGGAATAGATCAGTGGTGGGATTGAAAAAATTTTTACCACCAGTTTTGTGGGTGTGATTTGGTGGGTGCGCTTTGTGTGCACACATGCACAAAGGATTTGCTACTGACCTTCTGCAATCCTGCACTCTCCCAGTATCTTCAACAGCTGACATGCGGCAATCCACTGTGCCGCACGAAGCAGCTGAGCCTCAAAACCAGGAAATAATAAGAATAGAGTCAAGGTGGGCGGGTGGGCCCAACAGCTGATCATTGGAGTAAACCGGTTCGCTCACAGATGATCCTTGGAGCTACCGTTTTGGCCGAACTGGGCCGAACCAGTAGAATACCACCACTGGAATAGATTTTATGAATGGTTAGAGATAAGAGGTAGAAAGTAGGCGAAGAAAGACTGTTGTTGTGTATGAATTAAATATAAAGAGGGTTTATAATTATAAATGCATTGATATAATTAATAGAACTATAAACAAACTAATATAAAGAGAACTCTAGTCAAAATGTTACACTACTGTTATTGTTATTAATATATATGTCAATATCTTTGTTCGTTTTCTTTTTGTTTTTGTAAGTGATATGCCCTGACAATACACTGTATTCAAAATGTTTATGAATAAATATAAAAAAAAAACTTAAAAAAAGTAAAAGAAATTCATTTACAGCCACCAATAGTCATGATGAAGACAATGTTGATGATGTATCATTAAGTCAGTGCCTGGTCATTTTGCCTTGTGTGTTGACTTGTTTGATGAGCCATTCATTTGTTTTTTGTATCACCAGTCAAACCAGACAGCAAAATATGCACTCAGGAGATTAGAAAGCTTGTCTACAGATTCTGCTGTTATTAAAGTGACAGGCAAGTGACAGCTATAGTCTAATAAGAGATTTTATGTTGTTGTGATGTTTATAGTCATCAGTAATCCACATGTTCAGCATTGAAGCTGCTCAATGCTTCAGCATTATCTAGCTGGGGAAGAATCTGAGTAGATCCCAGAAATTGGGATATTTAAATAAAACCAAAGGCCTGTGGAGGGTGGAAAAAGAGGGAAAGGAGTCAAGAAAAAACAGAGGGAGAAGAAAAGAAGAAGGACCAAGAGGAAGGAGAGCAAAAAGGGAGCAAACGGCAGATTAAGGGGTGGGGAATGAGTTGCTATAATGGGCTGAAATAATAATCTTGAATAACAGCTGCAACCAAGGCAAGTAAAATAAATGAATCCAGATCAGACCTGTAATCTGAAAAAGCACCTGAGACAAAGACCCTCCAAAGGAGGGAAGAGGGAACTGGATTCAGATTTGCAAGATTCTGTAACCTTATAATAAAAAATAATATTATCATGGATGACTTTGTATTTCTAATCTAGTCTACCTAATCTAGTCTACCTATAAAGGCTCCCAGTTGTTTTCAGTCTTCTGATCTCTTTTGTTTTCTTGAAATTGCCTGCAGCTTTTTACACCAAGGGGATGTAATCAATCTACCAGCTCTTGAAAAATCATGCAAACAGGACATTAGGGCACATAAGGAACAGCTGGGCTAGAGCAAAGGACCACATATTCTGTTGAGTGTTACTGGAAGCTCATGCAATAAGAAAGTGCTTCTTGAGTACTCAACTTATTGAAATTGATTGCATTACTGTAACATATATTGTATTACTGCTCTTATTAAATTCTTATTCATCCCAACTATTGTCCTGGACTCTTTTCCCTTTTTTTGCCAGTCACTAGTGTTAAAATGTTGTCCAATTTTTTGGGGGGTATCATAGATGTTAATTGACTCATGCAAATCCCTTTTATTTCTTGCCAGTTATTGTTAAAATGTTGTCCAAAATATCTTTTGGGCACCATAGATGTAATTGACTCATGCAATATCCTTGTAGCATGGATACATATCAATCATCAGTCCATAAATTCACCAGGAGGTCAACTCAAGGCAAAGTTTCTCAGTAACATGCTGTGTTCCTCTAAAACAGGGTTGTCAAACTCGTGTACTCAAGGCAGCATCATATTACGCATCAGGACTTTTTTCCCCTCACTAAACCAGTCATGGGCATGGGTAGCACGTGATGCATTCGGCCCTGCTCTAAAACATTTCTTCAACATCCCAGTTTAGTCTTCCTCCCTGGAGTCTTCTGGTGGTCAGACATCCAAGGACTAACCAGTTCTGGTCCTTATTACTTTAACCAGTCATGTTCTGCTGGGTTGCTATAAATTGGACCATAATCTCAAATATCAGTCATTGCCACATTGCTGGGGAAGCATTTTGCCATCCTGACATTTCTGGAGGCCACCAGATTGGGGAGGCCTGTCCTAGACTATATGAGGAACATTGTGATTTAGTATTGTTTCTAAGTGGGAAGAGTAGGATGGATTAAATCGTGCTGCAGTGTGTGTGATGGATAACATTTTCAAGGATTCCCAACAGAAAAAAAGGTTAACTTTTTTTGTCTTTATAAAAGTTTTACAAAGCAAATGTCTAATTTTGGTCTTAACTTTCTTTTTTGCTTGGCAATTAAAGAAACATGCAAGAGAGAATTCACATGTGTGAACTCCCCCACCTAAAGTCCAAACAGGTACATTTAATGCATTATTCCATGTTTTTTTCTCTCACCTTCTATTATACCATAAAGCTTTCCAAGTTTTTACTTGACAGTTCCATTCTTCTAAAACAAATAATCTAATCTGTATGCACCCATACTTGTATATACTCCATCATTAGATTCTGAATGATTCACAATAATTTAAAATCAATGCAGTTCTCCCACCCCAATGCAGTTCTCCCACCCCAAACACCTGTATCTTAAAACTTCCAGAAACTAGAGCAAATCCACCCCACAGAGCAGCAATATAAGTTTGTTAGATAGTAAAACAACTAATAAATTTTGTTTCCATATGTTTAGTGGAAAATAGCATTTTTTTTCAACAAAGCAAAGTGGGGAAAATGAAAGGGAGGAGGTATTTCCTAGGAGCAGGTCAGCCACTGAAGGGCAGAGATAGTATTCAACAAGTTCTGACCAGTTCTGGAGAACTGATGGTGGAAATTTTGAGTAGTTCAGAGAACCGGTAGCAGAAATTTTGAGTAGTTCAGAATACCACCTTTGACTGGCCCCTCCCCCATCTATTCTCTGCCTCCTAAGTCCCAGCTGATCAGCTGGGTCTTCTTTTGTTGCCCTGCACAGGAGAACGGAGCTGGAAAGCAGGTTAGTGGGATTGGGAGGGAATGGAGATTTTACAGTATCCTTCCCCTGCTATGCCCACCAAGCCACACCCTCCAAGCTACACCACACCCATCAAGCCATGCCCATAGAACTGGTAGTAAAAAAATTTGAATCCCACCACTGCTGAGAAGGTCTGACCAGGGCATAGCAGGGGAAGGATACTCAGATGGAGAGAGAACCCAAATTTTCTATCATAGGGTGAGCAGATTCAAAGGAAGCTATGAATGATTCAGACCGAAGATCAGCTGAACTTTCCAGTGTCGTCTGAAGTTTTCAAGTTACAATAGTCTTTTTTCATGGTAGAAAGACAGAACAAATCTAGTTTTGAGTCAAAATAAGAAACAAACTCTCCTTTACTTCTTTAAAAACTTCAGACAATCTAAATGGTTCATAGCACAAATCCACCAAACCAAAGTCAAAGGAAAAGGTTGAAAAGGTATTATCCCAAAAGGTCACATTAGCTGAATGAAGTGCCTTTTTTTCTTTTTTGACAACCTGGCAACAATTTTGGGAATATATTCACTTTAGTAGAAGCATTGTGTGCCCTCTGCACTGTAAACAAAGACATTAGTAATTTCCTTAAAAGGTCAGACTCAAATGTATTATTTAAAACTAGGCATTTTCCTGGGTGAATTTATGAATATAGTATGCTTCTAAGACTAACAGTTTTTCTAAAATACACATACACACATACACACACACACACACATCACAATAAAACAATATTATTCCTGCTTTAGTCTACCCACTATCTTCCTGCAACATTTCAATCCTTTTTTTATTTAATAATAACTCTGAGTAATTAAAAAAAAATAAGAAGGAATTTTTAAACTCTGATCTTTAAAAGAGAAACCATCTCCAAGTAAGGAAATGAAAACAAAGAAAGAAAGAAATAAAACTCTGGGAAATACCATTAGTTGTAGCAACATGTTTAATGTGTCATTCAAAAGTGTGCAACATGTTGCCTCTGAAAGAATTCCTAATTTATTTCTTAAATTTTGACAAAATCTTCTCATTTCAAGATAGATAAAGAGAGAAAGAGAAATGAGATCCTTGAAAATGTTTCATTCACAATGTAATACAAATAATGCAATGATGCTTTACTCCATATTTTTTTTCTGGAAGAACCTATTGCTGGCTCAGGAATACAAACATTGGAGGTTCATACATTTTATTCCAAATACGAGAAATTTATCATATAGTAGAACATCTATGTCAGAGTTAAGTAGCTCTTTCCTCAGGACAACCAGTTTACTAGACCAATCCAGTCATATACAGCCCAGGTTTTGGGAATATGATCTCTGACCATATAAGAATAGAACAGAACAGAACAAACAAAGTTGGAAGGGACCTCACACATGTAAATGACTCAGACCTCAGTTTTAGTCACCACTATATCAAAAAATATTGAGGTTCTGGAAAGAGTGCAGAGAAGAGAAATAAAGATGATTAGGGGACTGGAGACTAAAACATATAAAGAACAGTAACGGGAACTGGGCATGGCTAGTCTAGTGAAGAGAAGGACCAGAGGAGGCATGATAGCAGTGTTCTAATATTTGAGGGGCTGCCACAGAGAAGAGAGGTCCAACCTATTTTTGAAAGTACCTGAAGGCAAGACAAGTAGCAATGGTTGGAAACTAACCAAGGAGAGAACCTAGAACTAAGAGAAATTTCTTGACGGTAAGAATAATAAACCAGTGGAAGGGCTTTCTCCAGAAGTTGTAGAAACTCCATCACTGGATGCTTTTAAAAACAGACCGGGCAGCTATTTATGTGAAATAGTGTAGGGTCTCCTGCTTGAGCAGGGGATTGGACTAGAAGACCTCCAAGGTCCCTTCCATCTCTGTTATTCTGTTCTATTATTCCTCTGCATATTGTTCATATGCCTTCTGTTTTTGACTAACTGTAATGAAGGAACATAACAAAAAGAAAAACAAAGAGACTACAGCATTAAAACATAGTAAAAATTATCTAATAGAGTCTTAATAAACAGTATTGTGATTTGTAATGTTTATCAGTATGCTCACACATCCTAAAGTTATGTTATTGTGCACAGATAAGGAGGAATTAGCTGGAAAAATGAAAAACAACTCAAATAATTCCCAGTGCCAAACAAATAAAGCATAATATGTTGAACATTATGGCTTTCTTCATGCAACACATTTAGGCAATGGCTGTGTCCCCACAGTATACTAAATCAAAAAATATCCAGTCATAATTCATCTACATCAAGTGTCAAACTCAAGGCCAGGGGGTGGTGCTTAGATCTGGCTCACGGGGCTGCCCTGGAAATAGTGAAGGACTGGCCTTTGGTGCTTCTGCCAGCATTGTCATTGGCAGAAGGTTGCAGGAGGCCATCACAGCCAAAAATGGAGCTTGCGAGGGCCGTGGGCCAGAGGTGGTATTCAGCAGGTTCTGACCAGTTCTGGAGAACCAGTAGTGGAAATTTTGAGTAGTTCAGAGAACCGACAAATACCACCTCTGACTGGAGATTTTACAGTATCTTTCCCCTGTCACATCCACCAAGCCATGCCCACAGAACCAATAGTAAAACAAATTTGAATCCCACCACTGCCATGGGCAGCACTCCCAAGCTCTGTTTTCATGGGCAGGGGGTTGCAGGAGGCCATCATAGCTGAAAATGGAGCTTGGGAGCCCATTTTCATTTGCAGAGCACCCGAGACGAGTGACATCGAGCTGGCCCCCCAAGGTCAAACACAACCCTGATGTGGCCCTCAATGAAATCGAGTTTGACACCCCTGGTCTACATAATTCATTATGTTATATATTCGTCAAATACCTGAAGGCTGTATTTACAGAAAATAAATCTGCAACATGCCTTCTATAATCCTATATAACAGCAGCCTTTACTGGCATATTCTAGTAGTTGTATATTCAAATAATGTTTCATGAATAAGAACAACTGGACAGTGGAAACAAACACATAAGCTTCCTTTTACCTAAATGTGGACAGCAATTTGGAAGAGATATTTTCATGTGGACTCCTGCAGTAAGCCCAAGTTGGATCTGAAGACCTGAAGATCCAACTCTATGATCTCATTCTGGAGCAGACATGCATTGATGGATCCGGAGCTTGACCTTTTCAAATAGTCTACATTTCTTTATCTCATATAGCAGCTTGGTGTAGCAGTAGCTTTTTGCTGTACTTTCCTTGGTGCTCTGTAGGATCTTGAACTAAAATATCTAGGCTAGGGTCCTTTATGTGATAAATATCTATTCCCTTCCTCCCCAAATAGGGAGTTATCCTGTGATACTTCACTGTTCCTTCATGTTACAAGACTTTGCAACCTTTTGCAAAGATGTATATTACAATATTACCTTAAAACCATTTCCTGCTAGCGTTTAGCCCACAGCCAAAGCTGAATTTTCAGATGTAGACTCTCAAGAAAACTCCAATTCTAATTTAACCAGCAATCCACAGTTTTGGTATCAAGAGCATCTTCTACAAATACCAAAGTTTACAAAATGTGCCGGTCTGAAGGAACATGCATCTAAGTTTTGAAGAAGTGAAAGTGAGAATTGTATGGTTTTACTTATCTAGCTTTCTATGCCCGTTTGACACATCTAAAAACCACCGTCAGCTACCAGAGCAAAAGACAGGCAAAATATTAATTAGACTTTGTGCAATAATTATTTGTAATTGTTAAATGACTTCTAAGATTCTTGTGGATTCAAATGCCTTTTTTTCCCACACTACAGGAATAAAGTTTGAAATTAAATCCTTTGAAATTAAATGGACAGTGGCTTTTAAACTATAAATTCAACTCTAACCCCTCGACTGCTTTCAAAGCCTCAAAGCTATGATCTTTCCACCATCAGCAAAAAAAAACAGAACATGGTACTGTTTATCCAATACTGTTATCTGAGGAGCATATTTATTTTCCAGAAGAAACAAACAACTTAATGAAATGACAGTCCATTCAGTTTAATTATAATATGTTATAAAAATGAAGTCTTGAAGTAATGTGCATGGAAGGGTATACTTTTCCATTAGTTTCAATTGAATGCTTCTGAGACAGCATACGTCTTTCTTCAGCAGAAGAACAGATTTTGCTGTTCCACGCACTGTCATTTCTACCCATAATTATACAGCATCTTAAATGGAGACTGTTAATAAGGCCACTTCCTCCACAATGATTTCCAGGGAAAAAGA